AAACTTTGGCGGTTGTTGTAGAACAAACAGAATAGCTCAAAACCCCAACGCCAAAACACGACACTGTAGTTGTCCGAAGCATTTAGGTGCATAATATTAGGACATAATATTAATATTAATAACCTTAAGTTAGTTAAAGAAGTTAGGAATAATCGTTTACCAAACAGTTTTGAAAGTTTATACATTTATAAAAATAAACAAATTGTTCTTAACAATGACAACGGTCCTATCCCTGGATCTCCGCTATTTAGTTTAGTTTAATTACGTTTATGATGATGATGTTAAGGTCCATTGAACATCTACCTTGTTGCCTTCGGGTCATGTTCACTGAACCTTAACAACTATCAGTATAAATTAGGATTAGTTCTCATTTAGGTTTAGTTTACTTCAGTCCCTGAAGAAGGTAACTTTGTTACCGAAAAGTGCTTCGGACAACTACAGTGTCGTGTTTTGGCGTTGGGGTTTTGAGCTATTCTGTTTGTTCTATGACTTCTATTTAATCGAAATGACCCTTTAAATACTCTGTCTGGAACTTCTTTCGATAACTTAAACTCTCCATGACTCTTTTATTTTAGTAAATATGCATTTACATTATTTTTCTTTCCTTTTCAATTGAGTAAATGCAGTAAAATAATTTTTTGTTGGTTCTCGGATTCAGATTCTACATCGAGAATTAGTTGCTGTTTCGCTGTCATTATGAATGTAATATGGGTCTGGGTTGTGTTCAATTTGCGCTACCTAAGCAAAACGTGTACCTGGGCTGGATCTTGACCAAACATGGGCTATGCCTGTGCTGTGCATGACTGGGTTCAATTTGCGCCGGCTCTTATGTTGATGGTAATTCCACGATCTTGTCAAGATCTTGAAGATTCTGGTGTGCCAGCAAAGGATTCGCAAAGAGTTGATATATCATCTGTGTAGCAGTTCCGTGTGATCAGAACATTATTGCCCATGTCACAAGTATACAGGATGAAAAGTAGGTACTGAGTCAACTACCGACCCCTTTGGAACTCCATTGGTGATCATCCCGGATTCACCTTAGCAGTTTACCTCAGATACCCAGTTATTCAAGTTTGTGCAGTATTCGTCTGTGGATCATTCTAAAGAATGCTTTTGCAAAGTCAAAGTAATTGACATGTATTGGGTGACCGAAATCTGTTGTCTTTGACCCGCAGTCGAATGCGGGCAGCAGGTTGAAGACCTGATATGAATCGTAGCTGTCGGTCAGGGATTAGTCTTTGGTCTGCCATATAGTCTGATCACAATTCGTTCCATAATTTTCCCAACAATTCTGCCAGAGGCTGGTAGACCTACAGTTAAAGTTGAGGGCGTCTATTTGTTCCTTTTTTACAATATTGGGGTTACCACGGTTTTCTTCACATGGGTCCCTAATGGACTATTTATTTATTTTTTTAATATGAAGATTGGAAAAACTTTGACGGTTGTTGCAGAACAAACAGAATAGCTCAAAACCCCAACGCCAAAACATGACACTGTAGTTGTCCGAAGCACTTTTCGGTAATAAGGTTACCTTCTTCAGGGACAGTTCACTTCAGTCCCTGATGATAAGTAAGTATATCAAATCATTTAATGATCATTTTGTAACTCAGGATATTTTTAAACATATATACTATTTAGACATCTTTTAGAAGTGAGTGAAGAGACATATTATTCTGAAAACTCATTTCTGAATTTTTACCCATTACAAACTACTTCAAATTAATGAAGGAAAAATTGTTGCTGTTGTCACACCCCCGCCGGGAATCGAACCCGGGATATTTTATTTTAAAATAGCTAAATCGTCAAACAGAATGTCATATAAAGCACTAAAAAAGAATAAGCTTATGTTTGGTTTTCAATTTACCACTAGTGTATAGGAATACGTACCTACATCAGATGCATTTTTTATTTTAACTTTCAGCCCATGTACCTGATCATCGCAAAAGAATAATATGCGATATAATTACATAGTACAGATTTAGCGTTAGACAAAAATGGATTTAAAAAAACTGATAAAAATCGACAGAAACGTGTGCATGAAAAGGTATAGGTAGGTATTAAATATTGTTTGCAAAACTTTATTACACGCTTTTTTCGTAGAACTAATTCCATCGTGATGGTACTAAAGCAATTAGTAAAACACGCTTTGTAATATTCAAACTTTCACACGACTTGTTTGTCTGCGACTACGTTACGCCATGCCACTATTATTAAAACTACTTTTTAGCGTTAAGTGTTATGAAAGGCACATCTACGAATATGCCCTACCTACGACGTATACTATTATTTACTTTACCCATTCATGTTTCAAAGACTGTGGCTGGGGTCAATTGATTTATAAATTTCACTTTTATTAAAAAAAAAAACATAATTATGCGTGATTTTTAAGAACCTAGTCGTTGGACAATCGTAGGGAATTATTATTACTATGTTTATGTCTAAAATTATCTTATATACAAACTGTCTTTCTATATTATCTATGTTCTTCTCTATGTTCTAGTAAATAAAAATCTATAAGAAACTGTTTCAATCTTTTCATCATTACCTTTTATAATCTTAGCAAACAGCATGATGGGGCGGGGCTGTCGAAAGAGGAGGTCTCCCCCATCACTGTACCATAAAAAATTCGTGGCGGTCTCACACCCATAAAAAGTTATGGGGGTTCAAAGTTAATAAATATGCCAATTTTTATACATTTCTAAGCATGTAAATATTTATATAGTCATTCTTAAACAATATTCAAAGGTAAAACTAATGAAAAATACATAAAAATATTGAGAAAGTTATATAAAACATTATTTAAATATCTTTATCAATAGGGTAGGTTAGGTTAGGTTATCGGGTTTTGTTCAAGTGACCACCCTCTTTCGAGTCCCCACCTCCACCCGTCTGAAAAAATTTTTTTATTGAATTTTATTTGAATTATAGTGTATGAAAATTGTCAAAATAATCAACTTTCAACCTCCATAACTTTTTATGGGAGTGAGACCGCCGCAAATTTTTTATGGGGTTTTACTCAGATGACCACCCTCTTTCGATCCCCCCTACTCCCACCCCCGAAGGCCATCATCTAACCCCCATAACTTTTTATGGAGGTGAGACCGCCACGAACTTTTTATGGTACACTGGTGGGGGAGACCTCCTTTTTCGATCCCCCCATCATCTAGACATTTACCAAAAAAACACTTCAATATTAAAGTGTTATTTTTCAGTGGAAGCTTTTCTTGTCCCACAATAATTTTATCTTAGTTCTATGAGTAATTTAAAGTATTTATGATTATGAGATAATTTCTCAGCGGATCTGAGATATTTATAGGGTGCGAAATCCTCGAACAATAAATTATGGTTTTTCAGTTGAATTTTTTCTTGTCCCACAAATATTTTTGGTAATTCAGCTCTAAGATCAATTTAAATTAAGATTAGAACTGTGACACAATTTGTCAGCAAATATAAAGTTTAGTTACAAGGTGTTAAATCCCATAATAGTGAAGTTTTTCTTGACCCACAATTATTATTTGTAACATAAATCTTCCAGTCATTAAAGGTAGAAATACATTTATGAATTAATTTGTCAGCAGGTCTGAGAATTATTTACAGGATGCGAAACCTTTCCAGTGGAAGTTTTTTTCTCATCGGGCCTGAGGGTTATTTATAGGGTACTATGCCCTTCAATATTAATTTTAAATGATTATTCTTCGGGGGAAGTTGTTCGTGTCCCACATACTTTTTTAAATCACAATTATTCTTTGCGCAATAAAAGCGGAACGCAGGTGCTAGCGCCCATACTTTAACGAATTTTTGCTCCCATTTTAGTTTAAATAAAAGACATTTTTATAAACTATATCGGTATTGAAATTTGATCGCATTCTTAAGAAAAGCTGTTTCACAAGTAAAGTACCTTATAGTTTATAAAGAAAAGGAAAAGTGGACAATTGTGGTTCTTTGTCCCTGGGGTCATAATAAGGCAACAAATATGTTTAATATCAATACAATAAACAAAGATTTTGTAACAAGTGCGATACCATTGGATTCAGAAATAGGTCACTGACGACAAAAATTACTTATTGTTATTTAGATTTTTTAGCCTTTTTCTTTCATTTTTAACGGTTTCCCATCAGTGAAATTAAAAATTAAATAATTGGGGACAATTTAAAAGTAAACTCGGCGGCATCGGCAGGTCAAAGTAGGACGTTTTATTAAATGCAATAGTGGAACGAAAGATGTAAGACGTTCTCAATGTGGCACACTTACAAATTCCTAATTTCACACTACATTTTCGCAGCAATGTTTTAAATATATATTTAATATTAATACCTACTATACGAATATTTTAAAAAAACAAGTTTCAATGTGTATTTCCCCCTATTCGTTTTTGATGATTTTGCAAATAACATGTATAAGATACATCTAAATTAATAAATGCAACTACCTATTTACATAAATTAAAAAAACATATACGTAGGTACTTCCTGTATAACTTTCCAATTACTTCTAAATTCATAAATAGTTTCTGTGTTACTGATGACTATTTATTACAATAAATTATCTCCGTACCACCGATAGGTATAAAAAACGTTTGCTTTAAATTATTAATCTATTTTAATTCAAAAGGGGGTACTTAGCAGAATCTAATTTTCAAATTGGTTTATGGCACGAATTGCTTTAGCGTTCTTTCATAGAAAAGCCTCGCCGCCTCAGGCAAAATTTCAATTTACCTGAACGGACAAAATAGGGGAAGGTTTCAGCTATGTATTTCAACCATCATCAAATTAAAATTCCATCGTAATGACAGCGTTACTTCATGACCGTCCCGCTTAACAATAAAGTTAAATACCAAATATCAAACACCAAGCACATGAGCGTTGTAAACATGGTATCTATCCGAAAATATACAATTGCTAGATTATAAAGTTTTTATACGTGACCTTGTCATACAAATTCCATTAAGAATATTTAAATAACGTAGGTACAAATGAGCAGCTCATGAATATGAAACTCACCCGATTGCATTCCAGTGCCTCTGTAGAGTGCTCCTCTTTTTGACGAAAACAATTAGTACATTTGGTTTTATTGAAAATATTAGGCGCGAATTTTCTACATTGGGACATGGCTTACACACTGTTCAGGACATTTCAGCCTCCTTTAGGATCTAAATTATAGGCTGCACTCCCAACCCCATGCATCATTGTAAAATGCACTAAAATCACTGCACCTGTTTCCTGACACCACCTCGAATGTTTCACGAACGTTACGTGCACACTGGTAAATATTATTTAAATAGTAGTTATTAGTTACTAACACTTTAATGAAAGAATTAACAATGCCTAACTGACTGTTTTCAGGCCAACTCGAAACACGATACTGGAAAAAATTACAACCTACAATTATCAATTGAGTAACATTTATGGTTGGTGCGCGCGCAAGCCATTCACGTGACCTTTCTATTTAAAATTGGAATATAAAATTATTGAACCAGAAATATAAAAACTGTTTTTTAATTTAACAATAGTTAATGGCAATAGGAATTGAAATTTTCAGAAAACAAATATTGCAGCAACGTAATTTATCGAGATTTGTGAAATTTTGAGTAAAATGCGTTCATTAAAGTTAAAATTGTTTTAAACTTCACCTTTTCAGTTATTATCCCAAAGATTACTCAATCCTTTATAATTTAATTTACAGCAGAAAGTAACAGGCAAAATAGGTTTCTGAAGTTTGGTAATAACTCTTATGAAAAGAACCTTATTATTTATTCTGTGAAATTTACTAGCAAATGATTGCTTCTGTTGAACACATCTTTTACTTATATCAATGAAACAACTAAAAGTCAACTTCGCCAACTTCCTTCCCACTTGTTTTGGTTATCTATTGTCAATGGTTGTGTATCGTAAATTTATGTTCATCTCATGTTAATTTCAAAAAGTTTGCGATTGAAGAACCATCATCATTAATAAACAAAAGATTTATTAATATCTAAACTAAGTGTAGAAGCAAACAGTAACATTATAAAATGTCTCAGTCCGAAAAAGAAGCAAAAGAAGTGCTGTTAGAAAATAAAGATACTGGAATGTTGGAATTTGAAACACAAATCTTTTTAGATTTAATACATTATGATTGCTTGTTGGTTACAGCAAAGTATTATTTAGACTTTATTAAAAACTAAAAATATAAACATATATAATTTTAGGGGTTTAAACATGGACAAAGTGTTTATTAACTTTTTAAGAGTTTATTCAGACCCAGGTAATCTTGTCCTTATCATTAACTGTGCTGAAGAAGAGGAAAAGTATTTTATTAACAAAACTAATGACAAAAATCTTAACAGGATAACAGCTGCAATGTCTGTTTCCGAAAGGTAACATTCAACTTTTGTGTTTTGTTTATATTGACCCTATAGTAGATTATATTAAACCATCATATAATTTTAGAGAATATTTGTATTTATCTGGAGGAATATATTTCATCACAACAAGAATACTGGTTGTAGATATGCTAAAAAAAAGAATTCCCATCGACAAAATAACAGGTATGATAGTTCAAAGAGCTCATATGATTTTGGAAAGTTGTCAGGAAGCTTTTGTATTAAGATTATTTAGACAAAACAATAAAGTAAGTTGGAACAATGGGAAAATAGTTGCTCACATTTTTTATCAACTTCTGTGTTTTAAGACAGGTTTTATAAAGGGTTTTTCAAACAATGCTCTGAGTTTTACAATGGGGTTTGGTCATGTTGAACGAGTTATGAGAACATTATTTGTTAAGGAGCTGTATTTGTGGCCACGCTTTCATTCCCTTGTATTACAAAGTCTGAAAAACCAAGAAGTATACAGTTTCTTGTTAGTTTCCCTTTTTTTTTAATATTAATTGCATTTTTGTAGCCAAATGTTATTGAGTTACATATTCCTATATCAAGCAACATGTCAAAAATACAGACATGCATTTTGGACTTAATTAATCTCACAATAAAGGAGATAAAAAGAATAAACAAGAATGCCGAATTACAAGTAATATCAAGTTTTATTTTAGGCTATTTTAATAATTTAAATGAATTGTTTTAGGAGTTGTCAACTGAAAACTGTTTAACAAAAAAGTTTTACAAACTATTACAAATTCAGTTGGATTGTATGTGGCATCAATTAAGTACAAAAACTAAACAACTTTTATCAGATTTGCGAACACTTCAACATTTGATTTTGTAAGAATTATATTTATTACAAACGAAAATATTTTATTATTGTAGTTAATTCTTTAATCACGAATTATTAATTAAAACAAAACCACTTATCCCAATTAACCACAGTACCTTTAATTAATGTTGATACGTGTTTCGTTCACTTATTTGGAGAGCATTTTTTTTTTTTTAATTATTTTCATTGCCACAATTTGCGTGTCTATTTTAATTAATAATAAGAATTGTAAATTGCTTAATGAGTATTAATATTTTATTACATTTTTAATGAACAGAAATGAAATCCTTTTAGAGTCATGCTCCATGAAGATCCTGTTACATTTTATGCAACGTTGTTGAAATATAGAAGTAGAGAATATGCCCAAATATCCCATTGGGTGCTTTTGGAACCAGCAGAACTGTTGTTTACTTATTCAAGTTGTTTCGTGTATGGTGCAAATAGGGGTAATTTATCAATTATAATAAATATTAAAATTAAATTTCACAAACATTTTTAAAAAGCTAACACTTGCTTTGTGCTACCCAGTCTTTGATTCTTGGTTAGGGACTGAGGATGGTACTTTGGGTAGACACGTTTTAGGTTTTTAAATGAGTTAAATGTGTACAATTTTGAGTAACTATATTTTGTTGTTTTTTTTTATATATACAGAACTAAATCCTGAATTTTGTCCTAAATGGAATACCCTTTCTGAAATTTTGAAAACCGAAATACCTGCTGAAATGAAGCGACAAAATATTAAGGAACCAAAAGTATTAATTCTCTGTCAAGATTTTAAAACGTGTTATCAATTGAACAGCGTATGTATGACAAATTTGTATCAGTATATGTTTTTACAGATGTGTATGTTTTAGTTTTTAACTCGTGGACCTAGACGGTACTTATTTGAGAGAGTGTTAAAGTATGGATTGCCTTTCAACTCAATAAATAAAAAATTTGAATACTTGCAAAACTTGCCCGAGTTTCAATCCCAAATTCAGGAACCACCCAATAAACGATGTAAAAGTTCAATAACATTAACGACCAAATTAAATACAGTAAAAAAAAGTAGTATTTCCGAAACGGGGAAGAAAATTGAAAATGAAAAAGATGAAAATTTAATGGAAGATGAACTTGAAAATTTAAAAGGTTCGTACGTGTTAACAATGACACAAACTAATCAAATAGGAGCAGAGGGTAGTGATAATGAGGACGACAGTTCAGAGTATTGCTTCGAACCTTTTACTCAGGTCAGCATTAAGATAGATTATTTTTTAATTCTGCAAAGAAAGTGCTTGCAGTTGTTCATTTTAATATACATATATTAGCATTAAATCATATTGTACTAATAATGTATGTAATTGCTTGAAAAACTCACATTTCCTAATTGGCGTATACAATTTGGTATATTTATTTTATAGATGGAAAATATGAATCTTACACAGATCTGTGAGACGGCAAGTTCTACATCAAAGCAAACAGTTATAATAAAAACATTTAAATCCAGTTCAAATAGTTTCGATTTGCAACAAACTCTGGAGGAAATGCAACCTAATTTTATTATAATGTATCATAGTAACGTGACAGCCGTGCGAAATATAGAGGTAATATTTTGATACATTTTTAAAAATGTATTACATAAACTGAAGTTTTAATTTTAGATGCACGAGGCACGAAGAAACAAAGATTTTCCATTAACGGTGTATTTTCTGGTTCACGCAGAAACAGTGGAAGAACAGAGTTATCTCACTTCATTAAGAAAGGAAAAGGAAGCTTTTGAGTATCTTATAGATACTAAATCGGTAAAAAACTACATAACGTTATTTTTTCGTAATGAAGAGTTATCAGTTCTTCTTATTTTAAAAATAATCATATAAATTAAAACATACAAATAAGTAAAAGTTTGAAACGCATAAGAAATATTAATTTTTAACAGTCAGAATTGTTCAAATAAATGAAGTGAACATTTTGTTGCTTGTACATTTTTCGTAATCCACGAGTAATAAACTGATAATGTATTTTGCTTTTAGTGCATGGTGGTTCCAGATGATCAAGATGGTAAATCAGAAACCTGCACCACTCTGCAATGTAACATATCAGCCGATCAAGAAAATACTCGTCAAGGAGGAAAATCAGACAAAAACAATAAAAGAAACTTAATAATTGTCGATATACGCGAATTTCAAAGCGAACTGCCTGTACTAATTCATAAAAGGGGAATTGATATTGAACCACTTACAATAACAGTAATTTGATAGTTTTATTGAAATTATTTTCATTATTAAAATATATGTGGTGCTCTTTTTGTAGATAGGAGACTACATTTTAACACCAGAAATTTGCGTTGAGAGGAAAAGTATATCAGATTTGATTGGCTCATTGAAATCAGGAAGATTATATCAACAATGCACACGAATGAGTAGATATTACTCTAAGCCCATGCTTCTAATAGAATTTAATCAAACCAAGGGATTTTCATGGCAGGTACAAAGGGTGATTGTTAGGATAAAATAAACCCTAAACACAAGTCCGATGGGCAATAGCTTTAAACTGTTTAATTACAATTTTAGGAATCTATTCATGCTTTTTTTACAGAATAACCTTATGCTTTCATCTGATGCAGATAGTTTTGCTATTCAACAGAAACTTATACTATTAACTCTGCATTTTCCTAAATTAAGACTTGTGTGGAGTCCCAACCCTTATGCAACAGCTCAACTGTTTGAGGAACTTAAGGTATTTATCTTTAATGTTTTATAATACAATAACGCAATTATTATTTTTGTTTGCAGAATGGAAAAGAACAACCAGACATAGCATATGCAACATCTTTAGGAGTTGAAACTGATTTAGACATGATAGAAACCAAATATAACTCTAGTGTATATGATTTTGTACAAAAATTACCTGGTATTACTTCAAAAAACATCGACATATTTTTAAGGAAAACCAAAAATATTAAAAAAGTTATTAGTTTATCGCAGGTACTTTTTTAGTATACTTGGCTTTAATTAATAGAACAAATAATGTCATGTGAAATTTTGTTTTTTATATTGAAGGAAGAGCTCAAAGAAATTTTAGGTAATTCTAAGGAAGCAGAAGAATTGTATAATGCCATTCATAAGGAACATTTGCCCCAAAATTCTACTGGACAGAGGATAGGACAGAAATCAAAAGAAAAACCATTTAAATTCATTAAAAAGCAAAAATAAATATTAATAAGTGACTAGTGACTAGAGACTAGTATTGTATATTTTGATTAATTGTTACCTGATATTTATAATAATTAAATTTAGTATATTTTNAATGCTTTTTATTTTTTTTAAGTTTGAATTAAGTGTAAATAGAAAATGGATTTTTAGATTTAATTTTACATATAAGTATTTTACACTTAAAAGAACATAATTTATTAGTGTTTAACGAATTTGTTTAGTTAAATTAGTAAGAATAAAATATTCATTTATAAAGTCTTAACAGTGGATAGGAAATTTAATGATACAATGGAATTCAATTTTTCTTTTAAATTAATGGAATTATTGTTTAATACTTTTAGTGATGTAATTGCACTTTGCAAAGTAATTTGTGATCTTAATAAATGCTGATCAACTACTGATAAATCTTTTGCAGCCATATTTATATTACTGATACAAAGTAACTCTAAATCTTGGTAAAAATTGTTATTACACTCTCGAAGCTTCCTATGTAATAAGGAATCAGATTGATCAATTTCTTTAGTTAGGTGTTTTCTTACATCAGATGGAGTACTGCCGTGGTCTGGGGAACTTTCTTCTTGTTCGTCTTGTGATTCAGAATCTTCACCAGCAATAATAGCTCCTTGAACGTATGATGTTGTATGTTGCACAGGGGAACTATCCAAAATGTTGTTATCTTCACTGTCAGTTTCAGAAGCCTCTCCTGAGACCACTACAGACCTTTTGGTGTTCATTATTTAAAAAATTATTAACAGTGGATAATTTTTTTACTTTAATGTTATGATATCAACTTAATTTTTGAATGAATTCAATAGTTTCAAAATGTTAAAAATTTTACATGTACATTACATGTCAAACAGTCGTCAAAGTCATAGATAATAGATACACAAAGGGTAAAGTAAGCACATCAAAACAAATGCTTACCATAGATTAAATGCATGTTTAAATCATAGATTAGAGATACATAATACTTTCTACCCTAAAGAAATTTCGGTAAACTACTATAATACCTCTTATCTATGACCTAAATCGGCCTAAATCGAATTCCAACTTGTTCGCCAAACCATCCTATTTTATTATCTATGTCCTATTATTATTATCAATTATTATTATGAATAACAGTATCTTCCTTATCTATGCTTTTCCACCAACCTTGACTAGGAAATCTTGCTAAATATATTGTTTGACGTGTAGTTCAGTAAAGATGTCTGCCGTTTTTTGCTGAGAGAAAGGATAGCATTGTGAAATTGTGATTATTTATTAGTATTGTGGCGTAATTCAGTAGTGATTGTTTAGTTTGAGACGATTTTTTATATACTATAATAAAATGGGACGATCTCGGTCACGAAGTCGATCTCCTCGCAAACATCATAAAAATAAATACCATAAACGTAGTAAATCTAGAGATAGGGCAGACAGAAGTTCAAGATCTCGTGGAAAAAGTCTGAGCAATAGTCGTAGAAGTGTAGAAATTATTAAGGAAAGAACTGTGAAAATAAGGTATGTATAGTTAGTTGAATGTCTTGTTACTTTTTTGATGCCTAAAACCTTTGTAACCTTTCTTAGAAGAAGGTCTGATTCAGCATCTAGTTCAGCCAGTGAAGTTTCTATCGATCTCACTAAAGATAAGCATCATAAGAAATCCTCACGTTCACGAAAAATGGACGAAGTTGATAGACTTGCTGAAATGGAAAGACAAAGACGCCAACGAGAAGCAGAACAGCGATTGGTAGAAGAAGAAACAGCAAAAAGAATAGAGGAATTAGTTAATAAGCGTGTACAGGATGAATTAGAAAAACGTAAAGATGAAATTGAAAGAGAAGTTGCAAAACGTGTTGAAGAAGCTAAAAGAATAATGGAGAAACAAATGATGGAAGAAATGGAAAGGCGAAGACAGAAGCAATTACTTGAAGAGAAGCAAAGAGAGGTAAGAGCAAATTTGTGGCCATCAGGTGGCTAAATTTCTACCACTTGCTAATATTAGCCATTGCATAATAAACTTTCGTCTCTCGTGAATTTAGAAGTTGTTAATTAACAACTTCAGTATCTTATATGATTTTTCAGCGTTATCTAAGAAATTTGTTGACAACATATGTTATAATTTTTATCTGTCATCTGAATAATATTGTGTAAATTAGGTTTACGATTAGTATTTGTATGTGAACTTTTATAATTAATGAAACAAATACATTTTGAATGTTAAACATACATTTTAAATTCTATTTTAGATTTAATTGCATGAGAGAATTTAATCTACATTTGAATTGAAATAATCTATACAGTGCATCGTTAAAAAAATAAATAGCATAAAAGCACAAAAGTTAATGGGGCACATAGATGTAGTACTTCTGGTTTACTTTATAAATACTCTGACTGGGAATTCCATTAGTATTGGAAAAGTATTAATAATATTGTTTAACTATTGTATCAATTGCCAGAAAAAGGCACATGGCTATGGCTTCATAGTTATTTAACTCTCAAGTTCCTAAAGATATTTAGGTAGGATTTGATTATTTTATGAAAAATAAATTCTATCTAATTGCTTTTATATTCAGACTATTATTTTAGTAATGTTTATTCTTTTTAGAAGTCTGAACCGTGTTAAAACATTCAGAATTTATTTGTTTCATAATCGTCATAAAGGTCTAACAAAAAAATTTGGTTATCATGCTTTTGTTTTCTTTTACAATATGTTTTTCTTTTTCGTTCCAAATAATTACCTAAGACAGGGTATAATCCATATTCCTAAAGGTAATTTAACAACTACAGTATGTATTAGTCAATTCACATTTATTTTTCTGTAAAATGTATACACAAATTTGTTTCTACCTCGCTGTCTTCTAAAGTTGTTGAGACCTTTGTAAATGTGCAAATGTCTCATTTCTGTAATAACATTGAAAAAAAAAAAAAAGAATAAAATAAAACTAGTCATACAAGAAATTCAAGTAAACATATTAAGAAAATGTAAGAGTGTCTGCATTGCCCCACCTTGTTAAATAATTAACAAATGCATTTGCCACTTGGCTACTAGCCTCGTAAGCTAAGAGGCCCACAGAGTTATCAGGCGAAGACCATGAGACTTGTTGCGGTTGCAGACTGCGGTTGAAGACAGACAGAGCCTGGCAGGTATTATATATCTTTTTTATATTTTTTGTTAAGCCTCTTATTACTTTTAAGGTTGCAAATGATTTTGTAGTATTTAACTGGCCCTTACTTTTATGGACATAAATTGAACGTCATACTTCTGCTAATAGTAAACACAAATGAATGATACCTTTTTTGTATTTACCTATGCAATTTTACTATTATTCCCTATATTAGCAACTAATTTTCTTTTGGAAGTTATAAAAAATCATTGACAATCTTCATACTTAAATATTCTGTTTGGTGCGTTATTTTATAGCGTTAAAAATGAATAACCCCTCCAACTAACTAACTAAGAAATTAAGTTGGGGCCAGTTATCGAAACGAGTTAAACTGAGTTTCAAGTTATTTATATTTTATAGGAGGAGGAACGTAAGAAAAGGGAAGAGCTGGAGAGAATAATGGAGGAGAACAACAGGAAAATCGAAGAAGCTCAAAGAAAACTAGTAAGCAGTCATATCACAATTTTTTATTAATTATTTAAATTGAAAATTTAGAACAAATAGTTTATTTTTCTAGTAGTTCTGATGTTATTCCAAATAATTGTTATGAGTTGGATTATTAAAGTAATGTTCTTTATTATAGGCAGAAGAAAGGCTAGCGATGGTTGAAGAGCAACGTAGAATGGACGAAGAAAGACAAAAACTCCAGAAAGAACAAGAGAGGCGGTTAAAAGAAGAACAGAAAAAGATCTTAGGAAAAAATAATTCGCGACCCAAATTGTCGTTTTCCTTAAAACAAGCGCTTTAACATTTAATCTAAGGGACCAATAAAATAATAGTTCATAAGGTTTAGTGCTAGTGCAAAATATTACGAGTAATTATTTAAATAAGTAGTACAACTTTTTATTTCTTAAATAAAGCATCAGGATAATTATAGGATATTAGCTTTTTACATAAACATGAAAATGTAATTATTACTGATTAACGATTTATATGTATGCTGAATATTATAATGCAATATAATATTTACAGAAATTACTGTTTTAATTAATTTTCTTTATATTTAAATAGCCTATTGCCAATTAATAATATTAACGATTTATTTATATCAATAAAAAAATTTGTTTGTTCTTGAGGCACATTGCGTATTTGAACGTTAATGACACAAAATACTACTACATATATAGAAAACAGTGCAAATTTGTGTAATTAAACATTAGGGTAAATGTAAAGAATCTGAACTACTTCAGATAATGAAGCTATTGATTTACTTATAATATATCCCAACTTTCCGCCCCTTCATTTGGGGCTTCTTAGGGGTCTACAAATCCCAAATTTGATATACATTAACAATTATTCGAATTATTATTGAATGAAAATTAAAAATAACTTGAGAACTAAAATAGATACTTACAATTGTGAAGTTTATCTTGAGATTAGCAAACTTGCTTCCTATAATAGTTAATTAAGGTAACTAAAATAAATGGAATTAAAAAATTGTTATACTTAGTCACAGTCAGAATATAGATACTTTATGCACATTTCACAATATTAAAAATAAGTAAACCAGAGAACACTGTCACACATCAAACAACCACAAGCACCGTATCATTCACTAAAAGCAATAATTTAAAATAGCCAATTATTAAAGATAATAAATACTTAAGTGTTCATAAACTTTTTTAAATTTTAAATGAAAATAAGAACATTTAACGACATCTATAATTGCAACTGTAAACATATATCACAATAGATAATGAACTCTGTATTTCAACTGTGTTAAACAACTAATAAATAGATGGCCAATAAATCAAATTATCCTTCAACGTTGCAGGATTCATTATGGGGTGTAATACATATTTACAATCCAAATTGTAGATGTCGCCAAATGTTCTTATATTCATTTAAAATTTAAAAAAGTACAAAAACTCATTATTTTTAATAATTAGCCATTTTAAATTATTGTTGTTCGTTAATTTATGATTAATATACATATGATTGTTTGATTTTATAGTGTTCTCTACTGTACGTATTTTTAATACGGTTAAATGTGCATAAAATATTTGTATTTTAATTATGACTAATTTAAATTAAATTACCTTAATTAAGGTAGTTTGCAAGTCTCAAGGTAAATTAATTTACCACTGTAAGTATTTGTACAGTTCTACAAGTTAGTCCTAACTTTCATTTTATAATAATTTGGATAATTGTTAATATATTTTTTTTTTAATAAAACTGTCGAAAAACCTAAGACAAACTTTGGTATTCATGTATTAATATGTATAAGATTCTATCCATGAATGGCTTTCTGCAAAATTGTTTTTTCGTTAATAAAAGAAATTATAATCCAATCAAATTAGAGAACAAATGGTCGTTAGCACACTTATGGAAGTTAGGAAGTTATTGAATAAATAGAATACGAAATATAATTTTCATTTCGAATATTCAGTTTAAATTGCATTAAATGACAATTTTGTAGTAGATGTTTCACCTTTTATTGCTAATAATCATACATATATTGCTTCTATTCTAACTTTTCCAGTTGGTGTACAAAACCACTGATCATACTCTTTGCCAGTTCTTTCGTATCGCTGGATGAACTTATTTCCTCCAAATGACTTGGTTCGTCATCGTCTTCATCTATTTCTTCTTCAAATATTTGATGTTGTCCTAAATGCATTCCTCCAGCTAGTTGGCATTTGTGAATATTATTCGTAGAATAAGGAAGCTCTACGTGGTCCAAATTCATTATTACCGTGACGTCTTTTAGGGCGCCTTCTAACGTGTTAGTTTGACTTTGAACCCCTCTGCTAATTCTGTTGTTTATCAGGGAATCGGAACTTAAACCTGTCCTTTTCTCTTTTTCCGTTTTTATCAGACCCAGCAGTCTTCCAAAAGTCTTTTTCATTTCGGACTTTAAAGAAAGGATTGTTAGATCTGTGTCATTGGCATCGTCTTCAGTTTCTTCCCAAGTAAGGGTGAGATAAAGGTGTTCTGGTTTGACGAAGAAATCTTCTGTTAACGATCTAACATGAAATACGAAAGAATCCGGGTCTACCCGTGGCAGTCTTTCTATTTGTTCTTTGTAAAGTAACTCAAAATTACTGGAGTTCGGTTCCTTATTGCGTTCATAGTCTACCATGAGTTTGATCGTGTCTTCAAGAACTTTGGGACATAGTCTTGCTGTAACCGACGTGGAACCATATAAGGCAGGTCTACAGTTAATTTCTAGTAACCACGGTTTAAAATCTTCGGTTATCATAAAATCTGAACCGTACAGTTCGAACGTGTTCTTCCTTCTGTAAATACGATTTTGGTTTGCCAAAATGGCGCAAGTGATGTTTTGCTTCATTCCAGGAAAGATTATTTCGTCGAAAACGTTGGGATGACCTATCAATTCTAGATATTTTTTGAACTGATTTAAATTCCACATGTTACACTTTGGAAGCGCGGGATCTCGATTTGAATTTCTATAACGGGTTTGGATAGAATTATTTGTCAGGTGTATGGATTCATGAAGCTTCCTGATATTGAATGTCTGAGAACTCAATCGAACGTAGCACTCACTAAAAAAATCAAATGTAACTTCACATAATCGTTATGAAATTGCTATTGTTCCCGTAAATATTAAAAAAAAAAGCAAGTTGCATCAACTGCTTCCACCGAGAAAGCAACAGGTACTTATTTCTTTATGTTGCTGATTTCTTTTGAAGTTCATTGCTTACAATAGTTTCATGATGGAGACCGTCATCAGTTAACGAAACATAAAGAAAATTTTTGGGACTTTGTTAAAGATTTTCGAGAACAAACAATAGCAACACAAAAGTTCAACAATGTTTCTTCGGTGGAAACCCAGCCTAATAATGTACGTAATGTGGCAAATTATTTTAAACAAATTGTAAGTGAATTACAATGTGGCTCTATCTATCTATCTAAAGAAACTTTAACTGTGGTTCTATCACAAAAATTGAAAAAAATGTTTAGAGTAATTTCAATTTATCAAATATCAAAAAATATGCTATATATATGTATTTACTTGTATATCCACAGCGTTAAAGGGTTTGTATTGCTGATTAGAAACCATTGTCGAATATCAAATTTGGTATGATGGATTAACAGTGGTCGTTCTGGAAATAGGATTATGGTAAAAGAAAAAGATCGTTAAAAAATTAAATTGTCAACGGGTTACATTTCAAACAAATTCATTGCTTTCATCCAAATCTATTCTTACATATTCTACATATCATTTTTTTCTCTCTTCATCTAATATTTACTCACTCTACTTTCATTTCATACCCTAAATATTGCTATTACGTTCAAATCTTTGTTATATTCACATACTTAAGCTTATTGTCAACCTGCCAAAGATTTCATGCATTCCACAAAACTACATACTTTGGCTTGTCAGTTTTTGTGAAATTTTTGCCCCTTATTATCTTCCATATTCTAATTTCACCTTTTTTCTGCACCCATATCCATCTTCATACATTCATGTAATTACTCCTGATGCTTTAACTACCTACTACCTTCCTTCCTTTCTTTATCGTAGCTATTTTTTATATCAATTTTTAAAATTCCATTTTTTCAATTTTATATCTTATTTAGTTGGTACTCTTTTCCTTGTTTCCTCCACCATCACTCAACATTTTAACTCTCTCCTAATCAGATAATATCTATCCAAATTTAAAGCCTACTTTATGTATTTTTTATGTAAGTTCTCCACTTGTATCTACCTTCTATTAAAAGCTATACTTACAACTATTGCATCAAACATTTTTTTTTCTATTTCAATTGGTTTTATACAATTTTTGCCCCATACTCCCCAATAAAGCATTCAATCAATATAATTAAATGTGTTCTGATTGAGTTATTAAGGATGTTTGGGAGGTAAAATCGGAGACAAGAGTACATAAAATTAGAAATTCGTGATTAATTAGGTTTTGCAGCATATCATGAGGTAAATAAATACTATCTATACTAAAAAAAAGTATACGGTTTGAGAGAAAATTTGGAATTTGACCAAAAACATTGAATAAAATAAGAAATAACGAATAATATGGAAAATTTTTAACTGACTTTTGGCAGTGAATATGCCTTGATTTCAACTTCGAAACAAAAAAATATTTAGTTTCAATCTCTATTAATAATGAGCGTAAAACTTTTTAATATGTTTAAATAATAATTAAAACTTTAAAATTGCATTTATTTCAGACAATTATAAATATTATCATTATATTATCAAGTAAAAACGAGATTTTCAGCTAATTTTTCATTTTTTCCTCGATAACCATTTAGTGAATTTGAATAACCTTACGCTAAAGTGATTCTCCAGAGTTCAAGTTACTTATTATAAAAGTTTGAAATTTCTGGTAGCTTTTTTTCTGTTAATAAAAATAAATTTAATCTGTTCGGTTAACGAATCTCCATAAAATGACGTGTAAAATTACAATTTTTTAAAATTTCAATAACTTTTTAACGGTTTAGTGAATCGATTTGTAATTTTTACAGGAGTTTTAGAATTGAATGAGGAACGTTCTTCCAAATTTTTATTTGTCTCGTAGTATTTTGACATACCTCCCAAACATCCTTAAGCTTCAGAGTTTAAACACTATGATTTTATTATATGTATAGTTGTATCGAATAAAAAATGTAGTTATTGATGCGAAAACTCACCAATATATTTTTGAATAACATATTTTCGTTGCGGATTATTTTTTACGATTGTCAAAATGTACTCTAATGTGCGACATAAATGAATGCCAATTCCTCTGCATCCATTACAAGGCTTTAGGATCCATACGTTCATGGTGTTATCCATTTCCAAGTAAGGAAAATACTTCTTCACTTTGGCAAGTATAATTTTCGACTTCAGAACCATTGATTCCACAGTTTCTATGTTGTTGCTCTTAAAATGTTCTCCGAGGTGTATCAGTGCATAAAAATGTTCGAAAAATTCGTGCCATTCGAAGTCAGATGCTTCGGAAAACCTCATGTCAATGTCCTTGTGCTTAGATATTTTTATGTATCTCTTGCATTCAACCAAAGCAAAGTCGAACATAGTCAAGGGTATTTTTCCGTTGTTAGATATTAATTTAATGACTTTGTCAGTGCTTCTTTCAACAATCCACTTCAAGACCGACATTGCGGCTGTTCTTTTGTAATCATCGAGAAAATCATGCGGATCTCCTGAATGAGCAAAATTGTACGTTCTCGGGTGGTTTAAACATGACACACCTATAAAACAACCCCAAATATCATAATAATGTTCTTTTGCGTTAGATTTCTAATTATGATAGATCCGCAAAACCAAGAATTCCAACTAACGACATAAAAATAAAAACACATTTTAATATTCCTTATGGATGGATGCAAAGTCCAAAAAGTCGTATTTTTGGACTAATTCTATTATTTGACGTTGCATTGTGACCATAGTTCGGAATGTAACTTTTATTTGTATTTTAGGACGCAAGTAAAGAATTAAACTTAGAAACTCGCACTGGCAAGTTGTCAAAGCTTTCTTAATAAAATCCTTTATTTATGATAAATGTAATGGAGTATACATTTTAATATTAGAGTTGGTGGTTATTATTATTTCGAATTTAATTTTCCAATTTTAATTATTAATAGAATAAAATAAAAAGCAGTAATAATTGACCGAAGCAACTGTGGAGCGTTTCTTAATTTATTCTATTAATTTATTTGGTAGTAGTTTAGTGTACCACTAAAAACCAAAACATGACTACAGCAGAAGTCATGTGGCTTTTTCATTTTCAGTTACCTATTTTAATCATCATCATAAGGTTGTCAGTCCTAAGGCTGGTTGGACACGTACCTCCACTCTTTCCTATCCTGAGCTAAACTTCGCATTTCCCTAAAACTAGAACATCCCACATCCTTAACTATTTTCGAACAGTAATCCAATCTAGGTCTACCTCTACCGCTCCTAACTACTGTTTCTGCCTCTAATATGTCTCTGACTAGACCTTCATGCCTGAGAAGGTGTCCTACCAACTTATCTCATCTATTTCTTATTGACTCCCGAGAGAGAGTCCTCTGTTCTCCTATTCTTCCTAATACCTCTTCTATTTTAATAGAACTATTTTTTTAATGGTTTTAATAATATATCGGACTTTGATTTTTATAATTTACCTGGAATTTGATACCAATAAGCTCTCTTAACGGTATCGCAAAGGCCACTTTTGGACGAATAACCAAAACCAGTCCTCAATCTGTTTACGAACGGGAATCTGTTATTGCCTTGTGAACTGTTCTTAAAAATATTATTGGAATAATCCCAAAATAAATCCACTGGATGATTCGCCAACATTCTGGTGATTATAATCCTTTTGGCAAGCCATCCCTGCTCTTTATCTTTCAACAAATCCAAAAGCTCTGCCATACTTGCGGTAAATAGCTTTCGTACCAGACCACTCGAACGAAAAGAAATCTTCATTTTTTCAACCCAACCCCTTTTGATAAGAGCTTTTCTTATGCTATAAAAATTTCCGCCGACTGAAAATATTTTCTTTTGAGCAACTGCTTTATCTACTTCCGCTTTGATTTTTCGTAATTCTTCGGGCATTGCGGTATGTGGTTTTGCTAGCACGTCATTTTGATTTAAGAGCGGTTTTGAAACGGTGCACATATTGTGGTATACCGATTTTGTTCTTTTAGTTGCCAAACCATTTTTCGATCTGTTTGCTTCTAGTCCGAAAACAGGTCTGCAAATATTGTAAACAATTGTAGGGCTTTTACGTTTTAGTGTACAACTTTTATTTTAAACATTGAAAGATAAAGTGGAGTTATTAGAAGGATTTGACTTTGATCTTTGATGTGATTTTATTCTGCGAGATACTTATTCCTAAAATTATTAACAGTGTTCTGAATTGTGAATGTGTAAAGCTCAACTGCATAAAACTATTAATCATCACTATCACTATATATTGTAGTATAAAACAAAGTCACTTTCCGCTGTCTGTCCCTATGCATGCTTAGATCTTTAAAACTACATAACGGATTTTAATGCGTTTTTTTTTTAATAGATAGAGTGATTCAAGAGGAAGGTTTATATGTATAATACATGCATAATATAGTAGAAAAACACTGATAATTTTAGAGGTTTGTAATGTGATGTCGTACATAAACACATTTTTTGCGCTTACATTGCAAACGCTGGCTAAACCCTACGAGATAGATCAAAATAATACACTACAATATTGTACACCTTAAAAAGGTCTACAAAAAAGTCCGGGATGGTATATGTCTATCTCTTAGGGATAACCCACAATAACCATTTTTATCCTTTACTTTTTATGAGAAATAATGACTTATTTACGAAGCGATTCTAAGCAATACAGCATTAATCCTTGTCCAATTAAATACTTTCAAATACATTGTGCATTCAATATAGATCAATATGGCTCTTTACAGCATGTAATTTAAATCAGTATTTTCCAAGATATTAGAGATTTAAAATGCAGGGACATGCGATTGCGGCGGTACCGGCCAGGAGGGCCGGTTTGTATTATCTAATGACAAAAAAGCTGTGAATGTTGTATATAAAGACATTCAGTAGTATATTAAGTATCCAGCATTGCACCCTTGCGAAGCTGGGGCGGGTCGCTAGTATAATATATTTGTTTGTTTTTGTATATAATCTATATAGTCTAGTCGGTAAATAATTTTCCCGACATAAATTTGTTACCGGACGGAAGTTGATCCTTGTTGTAGCCGGGGAAAAGTTAAGCATTCCTATATATTTTTAAACTTCAAAAAGTGTGTGTTAACAAATGGGGGAGGTCCAAAGTTGGCAAAAACCAGGCTTTTAGATCTAGAAGGCAATGCATGCTTTTTAGTAAGATAAGTCTCAAATAAAAATTGTAGAGAAATTAAAAATCTTTAATTTGAGCCGCGGTCCGATTAATTTTGTGAATTAGTCATTGCAGAAATCCCAAAAAAAACGTAAAAAAGTGCAATTTCTTGTAAATTGACTGTTTATTGCAAAAATGACTTTTTTAATGACTTTATCACATTAAAATGTTTTTGAATTTGGAATCGAACTAATTTTTATTGACGTAAATTGGTCAATTTGCTATTAATGAGATATTGTTAATCGTCAACAGACACGAATAATTATTGTCTGATTATTTATTGCTATAAAGAAGGGGGTCATTTTTCTTTATAAACAATTAGAGCTGGAGCGACCCCTACGTAACAACGTAACGTACGAATTTTTAACGGAGGCATATAATAAGGTAGCTTCGAAACAAACATTAACACACACTTTTTCGAAGTTTAAAGATATACAGGAATGCTTAACTTTTCCCCGACTACAACAAGGAACAACTCCCGTCCGCTAACAAATTTATGTGTATGTCGCTCCTTGCTTTGTCGTGGGTGCAAATGGTAACAAAATTGTATTAAAAAATTGGAAATTACTCATAAAAGGAAACAAAAACGTAGCAAAATAAATAAATTCCCCATTTATTCCACTAGTTTTATCATATAGCATTATAAAACCAGAACATAGCCGCTAGAAAAAGTATATAGGTATAAAATGTACCTAATACAAATTATACAGGTCAACAAAAAAAAATTTCTTTGAGTTTTGAATTTTTTGTTAAAAGCCTTTAAAAAACCGTTTACTTCTAATTTAAAATGAATTGAGTACCTTTTGTCAAATTTTAAAACTTGCAGTGCTCTTCGGTCACAGTTTTTGTTTGAAGTTATTGCAGATTTTGCTGGTTTTTTTGGTTCATTTGAAGACTCTGTTGGCTCATTAGAAGGTGATTCATTTGCAGATGTTTCTGGTCCGTTTGCAGATATTGTTGATTCATTTATAGATTTTCTTGGTTCATTTACAGATTTTGTTGGTTCATTTACAGATTTTGTTGGTTCATTTATAGATTTTGTTGGTTCATTTATAGATTTTGTTAGTTCCTTTATAGATTTTGTCGCTTCATTTGTAGATTTTTTTGGTTCTTTTATAGATTTCCCTATTTCGCGTGGTGGTTTTATATCGTCCACATTTGCAATTTTAGAACGAGAGGTTTTGTTTGACTTCTGTACAATTTTGATTTTTTCTTCATCTCCTTCTGTAGGACATAATTTTTTCTTTATGTTTTCAGTTTCTTGCTTATCCTTACATATTTTGACCTTTGAAACATTGTTGTTGTCTTTGCCATTCTTGGCATTTTTATTCTTATGTAATTTATCTTTTATTTTGTCATTTTTATTGTTTGAAAAATTCACAATCCGAATTTCTTCTTCCGTAGCCGTTATTTCGCTGAAATAGGTAGGTATTTATTTTACTTAGATTTAATCATTTTGAATTCTGGATTAAGAAAAGGACATTGATCACCTTTCATTGACTTCTACTCCCTTGTCTTTGTGTTCTTTCAATTCTGTCATAATTATTTTGGAAGTGGTACGTTTCTTTAATGGATTTGATAATTTTGGTCTGAAATGGAATGAATAAAATACTGCGAAATATAACATATACTGTAGCTCTTACTTTACAGTCACTTGAGGCTTCTTCTTGGTAGAGTCATTTTGAGAATTAAAGATGTTTTTCGTTTTTGTAGGTTCATCACTTAACCATTCTGATTTGCAACTAAAATCCAAATATTCTAATAGCTCTTAAATACATTTTGAAAAAAAAAATATGAACGGAAATAATAACAAAAATAAGAAAGGAGATATAAAATTGAGTTTCAGTTAAAATAAAATCATTTTCAAAAATCTAACTATAAATGTGACTATTGCCTTGATCTAATAACCCATTTTAATGTGATTATATGCCATGTTTAAGACCTAGTTATTAGTTTAAATTAGTTAAAATTTATTGTGCATGAACTAGGAAGAACGTACAAGTAATATTAATTATTTTTTTATTGATTGATATTATCTCTTAACTAGCTTTATATCTTTTTTTTATAAGTATTATTTTCAGCTCCTGCCAATAGGGTAAACGTACACTGCACAGTGTTAGAAACTATTGTAAGAAATCTGTTCTATGTCCTGAATTATGAAAATATTTTCTGGAATTCAGAATCTTATGCTTACCTTTGTAGAGATTCATCAGAGTTTGAGCAAGTACATAAGCTTTTATATACAGATAAACTCTTGCTAGTTTTTGTCATTGGAACATTTTTAATGGATTCCTTTTTCCTAATTTCAATTCCAGTTATGGGAGTAAACTGAGGGGGAGACCGAGGGCATTCGTTTAAATGTAACTGTCCTTTTTGTCCTTTGTTTTTCTTTGGATCATTCGCTCCTTTCTTCGAAAGTGAAAACAGTTGCAGTTTATTTTTCGGTTTGACTGCTTGTGTTTCATTTTTTCGTAACTTGTTGTTGTTATTGGGTGATTCACTTCTTTTCATCGTATTTTTGTTTAGTGAATGCTGTGTTTGAGGACTAGGTGTACGTTGTCTAATAGGGGTAAGTTTGCGTGAGGTTGTTTGCAATTTCGGTGATACTGACCTAGCCCTTAACCTTTCTACTGTCCTAGATTTTTGCAAGAGTTCCTTTTCATTATTATTATTATCATCATTACTATAATTATTACTGGACAGTAGAGTATTTTTAAATAATTGCAGCGTTGTGTGTAATGACTTGTCCTTTTTCGCTGAACTTGACTTTTTTATCTTGTTATTTTTATCGGTGTCTTTGCCCGACTTATTTCCACTTCCTGATCGAATAGATCGATTAGATTTATTTTTATTCTTGTTTTTCTTATTGCCTTTCCCATTTTCTGAGGAATGTATTATGAGGCTACAGTGAGGACTTGGTATTTTTTTGGCTTCATCCTTAATTTCACAAAAGTCGTCTACATTCGCTTTTATTGATTTAACAATTTTGAATAATTCTCCTCCAATCTAATGTGTATGTAGAAAGTAATTTATTTATCTATCATATTAACAGTTGAACACTTATAATTATTACCTTTGGAAAGGAAAAATTGCCCTGTTTTTTAGTATTATTTTCTCTCTTTACAGTATTGTATTTGTCGACCATATTTTTGTATTTGGTTTACGAAAGCTAAAAACTTAAATTTGGACCATGATGAAACGAACAACGTGAAATTTTAACGAAAATTTCAGAAAAAATGACAAAAACTGACAAATATTTGACAAAAATTTGTAAATTATTGTATACAGGGTGGTTTGAGATGATGGGATACAATTTCTATAGAAAGTCGGTGTAGTGTTGTCTTTAAAATTCCAATTTGAAAAAACAAGTGATAAGTGTTTATGTAAATGCGTCCATAATAACAAATTTATAGAAACCAGTTATCGTTGCTCGATTATAATTAACTTTTTGGAAACGATAAACTGCGGGTTGGACTAGAACTGAAATTTCATTATTTTCTTAGTTTACAGCAACAGGATTTTTTTATTTCCACCATTTCTTATAAAACAATTTCAAAAGGAGTTTGTGCAATATTGTTGTATTGTGCTCTGGATGTTCTTTTTGACTATGCACGATTTTCATTTTTTTGACTTGGCCTTTTGGCTAGAATAATTTTATATCGGGCTGAAACACATCTATTTTCAATTGCAATTAATAGCACGCTCCTAGAACAAATCAATACGTTGATTCTCATCAAAACAATGAATAGTTTCATTGAATTACAAACGCTGCGAAACAGTTTACAATTTATTTTGAATTCCGCCCCTCGTAATATGACACAAATGGCAAATGGTTACCAGTCGAGTCAGAGCTTTGAAATATAAAATATGAACGCAATAGGCCCGTCTCGTCCCTTGTCCCTTGTCCCTTGCGTGAATTGCGGCCCATAAGATTTTAAAATGCCTCTACCATAGTCGAGTCGCTTTACATCGCCAGGAACTTTAGGATGCCGTTTCGTTATGAATTTGAAGATGTATTTACGTCAAAGACGGAAGAAATTTTGAAGAATCCGTGTACAAAATTTGGACCCGAATTTATAAAAATAAAATCCCAGTTTACTAGATACTTTAGTTGATATTACAAATTAAATTGTAATAATTAAAAACTTGAAATAATTTTTAAAAAAACGTCAAAATTGAGATTATTACAAGTTACCTAATAAAGTCTACGGCAAATACAATCGAAAATTGTAATTTTTACGTTGTTTAGTTTTCTTCGTGTAGGTGTAAGAATTCACAAAAAAAAAATATGTAATGATTTACTACTTTATTGAATTAACAAGTTAATTTTACATAGGAGTTACTTAAAAAAACGGTTTTACCATTAAGACACTGGTAGCATCCCCTTTAACCCCAATGTTACGTTGTTTTGAATAATTCTCGCGGTTAATCAGTCCAAGCAGGTCTCGTTGCAGATATTGAGATTTTGAGGGTAAATCGTTATTTTTTACTGTGACGCCGATGCGACCTTCTTCTCTGTTAAGAAAATCATATTTAATAGGTTTAGTTTTTAAAGGTCGATTTTTTGATATCGCTACCTTGTGCTCTTTACGTTCTTTGGATTTACTTTGCCGTTGTCCTGTCGAATTAGCTCTGGAACTAGGACGCGACTTATTTTCTGGAGTATCAATGGTAACTGGTTTCGCTGGCTTAGAAGACATTGACATGTTAAGCTCTTCAATCAAATCACCGATGACGGGACCCTTGTACATTTTCACAATGTTCACAGCGGGTAAGTTCTTCGGCTTTGAAAGTGTGAATTCCGTGTTTTTTGATTCATTGTCGGGATCCTTTCTCCTTTTTATGTAAGTATTTTGTTCTTCCTTGATTTCTTTGGAGTCCTTATGTTTTAATTTCTTCCTGAATATTCGGTGTCCCCTGACTGATAGATTCATGCCCAAATAAGCGGGCGGTTTTGGGAAATTTTGCCTATATACGAGATCAAATGCTCCAGTGTCAGCACTGGGATTTCTTCTTTTATCAATTATTACTGGAATTAGGAGAAACGAACAGCAAGTTACAAAATGATGTTTTACATGCAAACTAAAATTTTTGTTACCTTTCACCATATCTTCCAGGCATTGTGGACACATTCGTGCGGTGACGCTGGTTGACCAAGACAGATCTGGACTGGAGTTGATTTCAAGAAGCCATGGCGTATAATCTTCACTAATAACGAAATCGGCACCATACAACTCGAACGTGTTAGGTCTTCTGTCCATTGTGTCTTGACAAGCGAGCATCGCTCCAATAATATTCTCTCTCATTCCTAGAAACGCCAATTAATTCTGTAAACTAATAAATGCTAAAATGGGACAATTAACCAGGTAAAATGACCATGTCCCACTTGTCTGGATGGCCGATTTGCTTTAGATATGCTTTGAACGTTTGACAATCCCACATGTTTTCGTCAGGCAAAGCCTTATCTCTTTGATTAACATTTTTGTATTTACACTGCACGGCATGATTTGTCAAATGGAGAGATTCATGAAAATTTTGAAGACTGAAGATTTGAGTGCTGAATCTCAAGTAACTCTCTCTGTAAATAAGGGAGTAAAGTTAGATTTTGAACTATATATATATATATCAGTCTAGCAGAATAAATTGTGAGTTTGCCGATTTTCTGGATGCCTAAGACATGCCACTGATGGTTACATAGGACATCTTTAAGATTCAACACTTGTGGTGAACAGGATAACACTTTAAATTCCCAAGTCCTCCACCTTTCAAGATATTATTAAAATCAATGCCAAAATGAGGGCAAAAAGCACTTTATTGTAATAACCAATAAGGTCGTTATTTTGACTTCGATTTTTTTAATAAGAAATAAATACTTATTTCATTTCTGATGAACCCTGAGGATGACTCATTAAACTAATGACGAAAAAAATAATTTCGTAAATCTTCATCTATATATATATATTTATGNAATATATATATATAAGACGATTCTAGTAAAAAATCACTTAAGAATTAAGTGTACATTTAAGAAAAGAATATAGGATATATTTTATATAGATTCTTCAGCAATTAACAACAACAACATCAACAAACCTGTACATCCAAATAGTTAATGGGTGTGTACCGGTGATCATGAACCATTGTCGTATGTCAAATTTTGTGTCGTATATAAGAAGAGGTTGTTCTGAAAAAAATCATCTGATCTACTGCTAATTTACATAACTATTTAAAATACCTATGTACTTTTGGACAACGTATTTCATCTTCATATTCATTACTTTTGATACATCTTCGAGATGTTTTATAAGTTGAATTCCTCTTCCTCGGCATTTATTTCCGGGTTTAAGAATCCAGATGTTTCGCATTCCGTCAATAACCATTTGTGGCCAATGTCTCTTTACCCCTTTTAGAGCTATTTTGGCTTGAACGTTTAATGAAGCTAGAGGTAAATCTTTTAAGTACTTGAACATTTTATCCGAGTGTATAATGTTGTAAAAGTGCGTTAAAAATTGGTCCCATTCGTTACTCCAAACTACAGCGAAATCTTTATCGATGTCGGCGTGCTCCTGTTTACTTACGAATTCGTTGCATCTTTTGATGGCAAATTCTAAGGCAGTTAACGGCTCTGTACCTTCTGGAGAAGTCACAGTTAGTTCGTCTTGTTTTGTATATCTACTAGTAAACCATTTCAGAAGACTTGTACAGGCAGTGAGTCGAAAGTCATCCACAAAATGACTGTAATGGTCCAAAAATCCTACAAATTAAATCTTATTTGGATTGACTTCCTTCTTATACAACTGCCATTGATATCTTTGTCTTTTGCCTGTCCAACTAATATAGAAATTAGTTACATTGATGGTAGATATATCGGGTGTCCCAAAATTAACGCAAGATTTGAATTAAAACAGTTTTTTCTTTAAATTGTTTTTTTTTTGTTGAAGTTCACAAGATTGGGTTATGCTAATACATACATACTCTTGTCGAAATTTTTTAATGACGATTTTGCATAAATGTGGTTGAATTTAGTTGATGCAGCGTTAAATTTCCTCCTTCATTGCACGCGTGCTTGGGGGCTTCTTGGCATAAGCCATTGACTTCAAATAACCCCGTAAAAAGAAATTCAATGGTGGTGGAGAGGGGCAATTCTTAGCACCGTCTTGTTCAAAACAACATACCGTTCGCAGCAGTATCATTCAATTTGGGCAGAACAAACTATATCATGTTGCGATATCGAGCGCCAGTAATAATAATTGCTTTACCATTTTCATTTCCGAAAATAATAGTCCAGTGATGCCTCTAGCCTTAAATCTGCACCAAACAGTGATACGTTGAGAGTATCTTTCGACAATGCGGGTTCTCTGATTCTCAAATGCGGCAATTGAGATGATTAACAAAGCCATCAATGTGAAAATGTGCTCCATCGATGAAAATGATTTTGTTCAACAAACCCTCTTCTCTGTGCATGATCATTAGGTTTCAGTTCTTGTGTCAATTGAACTTTGTAAACATGAAGACACCGATCTTCAGCAGAGAGCTTCGTGAAATTTGCAATTCTTGTTCACGACGGCGAATTAATGTTCCTACATTTTCATCTTGCGTTAATTTTGGCACACCGGTTAGTAAACACTTTTGAAGAAGGAATGGATTCATAATTTCAAAAAAAAGTTTCATGAGGAAGTACTTACTGGACAAATAATTGGACAAGATGGGAAGAATTTGTGTTAGGTATTAAGAATGCTATGGTAAATTGCACGATAAGGTTATTTTTTTGTAAACGTTCGAATAACATAATGTGATAAGTTTTCCGCTTATTTCAGTACCTAAAGTATAACATCTAGGGAAATTTACATGTGCCACGCCAGGTTCGCTATGCCAATGCATCTCCTGGAGCAGCAAATTAAGACCTTCCTTCGAAGTGAATAAAGAACGTCCAAATCTATTCATTATTTGTTGTGTGTTGATCCGATGGTGAAAGTCGGTCCCATCTCGTCTCATGTTCCAATAAAAATCGACCATATGGTTTTGAAGCATACGGGACATTATTACCCTTTCGCACTTCTTCCGATATGCTTCATCAGATTCCCAGTTTTGTTTTGCAGGAATTATGTTTGTAAAATCTTCTACGGTAGACGGAGGAGCCGGAACGCCACTGGCTCCTTTTGGCGGCGGTTTATTACCTTCAAATTTTTCTATCCATCCTCTTGACAAAAAGGCATTACGTATAGTATTCCACCCTCCTACAAGGCGAGGAACGTAGAAAAATTAATAGGAATGTTAGTGCTGCAATCAGGAAATGGACGGGAAATTTGTTTTTTTTTTAAATTTCAATTTGTTGTGAATTTTAGAAATCGTGATATTGTAAGTAGGTATGAAACATTGCTTAACAAACACGGGCTATTTCAACATATGAGGTCGTGAACTATCGAGCTCCTGTTTGAGAATATTTCATATTAGAGGATAAGCCACATACATATATTTAAAACTTTGTGTCTTCCTAAACTTATCATTTAAGCATCTATACAATACTTTAATTTAGTTTGAAGGTATTTTAGTACTTATTGACTTAGTAAGTTACCATTTCATGCAAGAAAAATTGCCAGTAAAAATTTACATGATGTTATATTTTTCCCTATATGAAAAAATATATTTAAATTACCGGCAAATGTGGCACTACCCTGTGGGTACCGTCGGTGTTAGAAAGAATGGTACATTAAACTTTACAGGAATTTCTAAAATTTTCTTCTGAATGAATTACTTAAGTTCTGGGATTGTTTCGGGTAGGTTGATCTCCCTCATAAAAGTCGCCTAGAATAATTAGTTTTAATTTAGATTTTTTTCTTAAGAAAAAAATTATGATTGTTGAGACAGAAATTCTCGATTTTTGACTGCAAAATTTTTTTTTATTTTCTATTGCACCCAAGCTATCAAACCTCATCCGAAATTTTTGTTACGTACACAAATATGTTCCACAAATTTGTTTAAATTTTTATTATAAGCAGGTAAAGGTTATTGATTGCATTGTAAACCTATATTTCAACCCTCCCCCCCACTGAATTAACACCTGGTTACGGATCTAACCGCACTCTTACACTGCTTAAGATATATTCCCCAAAAGAATCAATCTTTAGTTTCACTGACTTAGATCGTGGTATTTTACGTTGTGTGTCTGTCTCACTGTTAGTTAGTCACGATACTGCCTTGTAGGTATACATTAGTCTAATTTCGGTCTTCCCAAAAATTATAAGTGATTACTACCAACAACTGTACGTGATTTGTGGCATTGGGCGTTGTATGCCTGTCTTTCTGCCGATTAGTCACGGTACTGCTTTGTAGGTACAGATTGATAGCTAATCTCGGTGTTATCAACAATTGTATGTTTTCAAGAATGTATTTATCCTAATTTTAACTAAAACTTTTACTTGACTGAATAATTTTATAAGTAAGAATAAAAAACTATTCCTAGATAGGCAATCGAGGAATAACGTTTTTTTCCAGTGATGCCAAGGGATATTCCCGTTTCGAAAACTGATGCGGCCGGCAACAAAGCATTTATTGAAATATTAGCAGGACAGCTTGTTGGCCTATCTTGCTGAAAATTTCTCATCAATTTGAAATCGGGAAAACTGAAGTGTGAAAATGGTATTAATTAATCGCTTTGTTCCTGGGCCCCATCATTCGGCGGAACGGGGATATCCTTTTGGCTTGCTCTTTCCATTAACAATCTGGAAGGTTTTTTATGGGGACATCTAAAAACAAAACAATCCCAGATCTTATACTTCAAGAATATTTATCAATATGCCGTGAATGGTAAGACACAAATTTTTGGCCTGACTCCAAGATATTTGGCGGATGTAATTTTCAGAAAATACTTTTTTTCGTATACCAAGCCTTGTATATTGCACTTCCTGTTTATATATGATACATTTTTAAATTAATAATTGTTTAAAAATTGATTAACCATTGAAATTTTTCCGTTTCACTGGTTGATATGAATATATGATACGAAATGCAAGACATCCATAGTTTCTTTTTTTGTTAAATAATACCTTTTATAGTGAACGTTTTCCTTTCCTTAATCGCATTCTCTACGTTTTTCCTTAGTTCTGTTAGTTTTTCAGAAGTTATAACCAATTTATTCTTATTCTCTTCCGGTTTTTTGTTTTGCATACATTTGTCGATAATTTCTTGGATTTCTGGTGTTATGGAAAACGGAACGGAAATAATCGGTTTCTCATTGTTTTGATTTTGTTGTTTATCCAGTAAATTTTTGTCGTTCAACGTGGGGGGAACTGCCATGATGTGACATTTCCTATGATAACGAGACACCGCTGTCAATCTGACATTTAGTGTGGTATCGTATCTGGGCAACATGGTTTTTATGTCGCCCATCACTTGCAGTCACCTGTCCTTCAAAATTGGTGAACTTCCTGATGGGGAAATCATTTCTTTGTACAATAAAAACTTCGTCTAATATCCAGCTGTAAATGGAATACATTATTGATCATGAGTTTTAATAAATTCTTTTACCTGTATTTTCTTCTATTAAATCCATTTTTTCTTTACTCAGTAAAAAATTAGATTAAGAACAGTCAAATGCATACAAAGAAAGAAAATAATTTAAATTTTCTTTAAACAACTTTGCCCTGGGTATCTACCAATACTTAGTGAAGATATAATTTATAAATACAGTGTAAACTCTATATAACGACACTTAACGGACTGAACATTTTTCGGCGTTATAAAGAGTGGTCGTTAAATGGAGAGAAATAAAAGATATTATTTTACTATTCTATAATAATATGCATTTACCAATATAGTACACATTTTGCACACGAACATTATTATTCATACATTGCGTATAGCCTGTTATCTTCGTCTGATGTTTTTTGCTGCTCCAATATTTTAATTGTATTTTGTTACGTAT